AATAGTCTTAGAGGCTATACCAATGAGAAACTTAAAAAAAAAATCGATGTTTTTAAAAACTCCATATAATACTTTTTTTTTTAAATTCCCCAGGAACACTTAAATTTTGGGCCGTCCCACTATAGGCCCTTAATACGTGCTTACGTTACGTTTGACAATTCTTGTTGACTCCTATAATCAGTTTACTGAAGGAATCACGAATGTCGTTAGGATTTGTTCTAACGTAGCGCGCGTTCTCGTTGATTCAGCAATTTATTATCAGGGACGTACTATTCACGCGGCATACCGATGAATAAAGTGTTACGGTCGTCTTTCATTCCCTACGCCTCTTCCTGGTATTACACACCGACAATGAAATATCGCGATCGTAGTTCTTCACCCGTTCGATTAGCAAAAAGGAAATAATTCCGGAAGCAGAGAGTATCCACGATATATTCCCCCGGTCTGGGTTTCGCGTAACGACCAGTACGACCTAATATGTAAATTCCATACGATTCGTATACGATTCGCGCGAGGCGTGGCGAATATCTCATAATTTTACTTCCCGGTGAACAGATGAATCGCGACGTGACGCGATTACGGACTCGCGTGTTTATCGTCTATTTATTACCGAAGGAAAAAAGACTGATTGCACTCATTAACCCTTGTCCCTAGCCATTCATGTAAAGATCCGTGCATCCGACTTGTATCATCAAGACTGTGTCTACGTTATGTAACACAACGTTATGTTCTTGGATTTCTAACGAATTAAATAACTTTATTACATAATATGTTATTCATTTTATATATATTTTTATTATATATATATATTCATATATATTTTTATACATTCATTTAATTCGTATTGACAACATTATCCGGCGTGGAAGATCTAAAAAATATGCATGTTCGTATTGTTATAGCAAAACCTTGTTATTCTGTTAATTGTAGTTTTCAGTATTTTTTGTAATAATGTTATTATTATTTAAAACGTGTCTACATTATTGTATCTATTAAAAGCTAGGAAGACGCGGAAAAGAAAATTCTTTTTAAGGAGACGTAGTAGCATAAAGGTTGGAAACCGCTGCGCTGGTTTAAAGGCTAAACTGTAGATCCAGCGTTGCTGCACCATGAAATCGATCTTGAACGTTTTTATCTGGCGTGAAAACTTCTTACGATCTCTGTAGAAGTCGGACGGCGAGAAAAGTTGTGGAAAAAGGAGGTTGAGATTCTCCGAGGGTACTCGAAGCAGTCAACGGAGAGGTCAGGTTGCGAAACTCGGTGGTAGAAAAAGATAAGAATGGAAGTAGGTGCGAATGGAGGAGCCTGTCACCGACGATTGAAAGCGTTTACTTTCGCGCGCGAGAAAACGCGGCAAACCAAGACATCGACGCATCCTTGGCTGCATTGTCCACACGGACGTCCTTCGATACGCGAGTGCACCACGAGGAGATCTCTGTTCTCGCGTGCACTCGCCACGCATGCTACCCAGCCGTGTACACACGATGTACATACATACCGTGCGTTGATTTTGCAATCGGCATACATAAATGCACGTACGCGCACGTTTTCCTGTCTATCTCCTCTCAGGTTCGACGCTGCGATTCATAATTCATAAAAAGTGATAGCGAACGATTAAAAATGAATTCTATTCATTGAGAGGGTACTAAAGAATTGTAGATCGTCCCAGCGTGTAAGATCTGCTCTAGAAAGTGGAATATGAATTATATTCTTGTACGTTTGATTCTCTCCAACGGTTTCTTGAAAGGTTGCGTTCATTAAAGCTCGCGATTGTTGTCTGCGTCAATTAGACAGTCGATTATGCTGCTATTCGATTTATCTCACGTTTGATTCGGTTCAACGTACTGTTCTACGAGACAAAAGGATTCTTATTGTCACGATTGCCACTATCCATGCAGTCGACTAAACCAGCAAAATCCCGTTTCGTATGAACCATTTTATCAGGTATTATATTGAGAACGATCAGGACTCTACGATGGAAATGAGTCGAAATCAAACGTTTTCCGATATCTCTATCTGAGAGCTAAAGCGTTGAACCTGAGGAGAGGAGCACCGATGCCGGAAGAAGCCTCCGTTCTGCGATCTCGGATCTCGTACGTAAATGCTTGTTATAATCTGGTATCAGTCCCGTGTTACATACTGTAGGTAGGGCACTCGAGGCGCATTGTGCGCGAGATTAGAGAAGCGCACGAGGCTCGCATTCCTAACCGAGGCGGCCTCCTCCTGATCGAGGAGAGCCAACGCGAACAATTAATCGTGCAAGATGGAAAACGCAACTAGCGCGCGCGCAGGAATGCGCGTGATGCGCGTAACATCGACAATCAGGCCCGTGATTGCGCTACACGGGAATCAAATTAGCATCGGGCCAGCATCGCCATTAGAATCCGGACGGGAGAGCTATAGGAGACGATACGCGTTTTTCCTCGGGACCTTTTCTTTACCCGGGCTATTAGAATTGAAGAACCTTATCCTACGGGATTCACTTGGTACACTACCGGCCACAAGTATTGCGACACCTATCGATCCAATGCCACAGATTTATTCTATTATTTTATCCATTTTTTGACAACGTTTTGTAACAATTTCATTTTTCTATCAATTGTTGTATCCACCGTTACATACAATCATTGTATCAATCATTACGTCTATTAAATCAATATTGAATACCAATTATTGTATCCCATTATAAGAGGCATCGTATGAAATATTATATCAATCGTTAGATGAAACATTATATCAGTTATCAAGAATTATAATAAATGTTTTATGAAATGTATTAATTTTTATTAGGAGTGTACCAGGAGAAAAGGGATTCACGGGCGTGCATTGGCAGTATGCGTGGGGCATAAAATAACCGCGTGTCCACCCGCGTGTTTACCGACGTTCGACCGCTCCACCCGCCGAGATAAACGATCGGCTGGCACGCAAACGCGGAAAGCCGTCGAATCAATCGCGGCATTGTTCTCATATATATTTTTATACATTCATTTAATTCGTATTGACAACATTATCCGGCGTGGAAGATCTAAAAAATATGCATGTTCGTATTGTTATAGCAAAACCTTGTTATTCTGTTAATTGTAGTTTTCAGTATTTTTTGTAATAATGTTATTATTATTTAAAACGTGTCTACATTATTGTATCTATTAAAAGCTAGGAAGACGCGGAAAAGAAAATTCTTTTTAAGGAGACGTAGTAGCATAAAGGTTGGAAACCGCTGCGCTGGTTTAAAGGCTAAACTGTAGATCCAGCGTTGCTGCACCATGAAATCGATCTTGAACGTTTTTATCTGGCGTGAAAACTTCTTACGATCTCTGTAGAAGTCGGACGGCGAGAAAAGTTGTGGAAAAAGGAGGTTGAGATTCTCCGAGGGTACTCGAAGCAGTCAACGGAGAGGTCAGGTTGCGAAACTCGGTGGTAGAAAAAGATAAGAATGGAAGTAGGTGCGAATGGAGGAGCCTGTCACCGACGATTGAAAGCGTTTACTTTCGCGCGCGAGAAAACGCGGCAAACCAAGACATCGACGCATCCTTGGCTGCATTGTCCACACGGACGTCCTTCGATACGCGAGTGCACCACGAGGAGATCTCTGTTCTCGCGTGCACTCGCCACGCATGCTACCCAGCCGTGTACACACGATGTACATACATACCGTGCGTTGATTTTGCAATCGGCATACATAAATGCACGTACGCGCACGTTTTCCTGTCTATCTCCTCTCAGGTTCGACGCTGCGATTCATAATTCATAAAAAGTGATAGCGAACGATTAAAAATGAATTCTATTCATTGAGAGGGTACTAAAGAATTGTAGATCGTCCCAGCGTGTAAGATCTGCTCTAGAAAGTGGAATATGAATTATATTCTTGTACGTTTGATTCTCTCCAACGGTTTCTTGAAAGGTTGCGTTCATTAAAGCTCGCGATTGTTGTCTGCGTCAATTAGACAGTCGATTATGCTGCTATTCGATTTATCTCACGTTTGATTCGGTTCAACGTACTGTTCTACGAGACAAAAGGATTCTTATTGTCACGATTGCCACTATCCATGCAGTCGACTAAACCAGCAAAATCCCGTTTCGTATGAACCATTTTATCAGGTATTATATTGAGAACGATCAGGACTCTACGATGGAAATGAGTCGAAATCAAACGTTTTCCGATATCTCTATCTGAGAGCTAAAGCGTTGAACCTGAGGAGAGGAGCACCGATGCCGGAAGAAGCCTCCGTTCTGCGATCTCGGATCTCGTACGTAAATGCTTGTTATAATCTGGTATCAGTCCCGTGTTACATACTGTAGGTAGGGCACTCGAGGCGCATTGTGCGCGAGATTAGAGAAGCGCACGAGGCTCGCATTCCTAACCGAGGCGGCCTCCTCCTGATCGAGGAGAGCCAACGCGAACAATTAATCGTGCAAGATGGAAAACGCAACTAGCGCGCGCGCAGGAATGCGCGTGATGCGCGTAACATCGACAATCAGGCCCGTGATTGCGCTACACGGGAATCAAATTAGCATCGGGCCAGCATCGCCATTAGAATCCGGACGGGAGAGCTATAGGAGACGATACGCGTTTTTCCTCGGGACCTTTTCTTTACCCGGGCTATTAGAATTGAAGAACCTTATCCTACGGGATTCACTTGGTACACTACCGGCCACAAGTATTGCGACACCTATCGATCCAATGCCACAGATTTATTCTATTATTTTATCCATTTTTTGACAACGTTTTGTAACAATTTCATTTTTCTATCAATTGTTGTATCCACCGTTACATACAATCATTGTATCAATCATTACGTCTATTAAATCAATATTGAATACCAATTATTGTATCCCATTATAAGAGGCATCGTATGAAATATTATATCAATCGTTAGATGAAACATTATATCAGTTATCAAGGATTATAATAAATATTTTATGAAATGTATTAATTTTTATTAGGAGTGTACCAGGAGAAAAGGGATTCACGGGCGTGCATTGGCAGTATGCGTGGGGCATAAAATAACCGCGTGTCCACCCGCGTGTTTACCGACGTTCGACCGCTCCACCCGCCGAGATAAACGATCGGCTGGCACGCAAACGCGGAAAGCCGTCGAATCAATCGCGGCATTGTTCCTGCCGATGGGAATTAGGTGAACGGAAACCAGATTTAATGCTACTAGCTAATCGCAGAGAAATGATTTCAGCATCTTCAAAAATGGTATCCCTTTTACTTTCCCCTTTGTCTGCACGAACGGTATTCAAACTCATATTCCTATTATTAAAAGTAGATCGAGGATTTTATTTAAATACGCATGTATCGATTTAGAGAGATAGAGAGAGAGAATTCATCTAGTTCGATACACGTGTCGATGTTATATTTTTGTACAAATTAGTTACAAATTTGTAAGCAATCGTTTCTTAGAAATATTCCGTTTGCACCGAAGATGCGATTTAATCATTATCCTAATTTGTAATAGAATCTGTCGAAGAGTCTCCTATAAATACTTGGAGTATCGATGGCTAGAGGTATCGAAACGAGTTTCGCGATCAAGTTCAGCTCGCGCGGCGGGCAGAAACATTCAGTCAATTATGGAACTGGATTAAAATTCGCCGTGTGAAAACTATTCATCGATAATGAACTCAAAATTGACGAGTATACCGATATCACGATGCGGGGTGATCTCGGCCGTTCTGACTCAGAGAAAGACTTTACGGATGGGTCGAGTCAATGCGCGGCCACCAGCACCTCCAATGGTATGATTAACCTCGACTCCGATCTGGACGAGGAGTGGCTGACCTATGAAAAAGTCACGGAGATCATACTCCAACGACCAAAATCGACTCCAATCCCGAACCACCGATCAGGTCTGCACAATGAACAACCAAAATCAGCGGACATTCTGAGAAATCGCAAATCGCCAAAGTGCAAGAGTTTGAAGAACGCGATTTCCTCGGACAGATGCTCGGAGATTATATTTGAAAAACGAGGGGCAGACGGAGACAAAGCCACAGATATAGTTTCACCTTTGCCAATGAGAAAAAGTCTCTTCCCTCATGTACCTCCTTACGTCGTTTTCAAGAGTCATGACCACGTGCCCAAAAAGCGAATGCCCAAGGATTTTACTCAGTTACTCAAATGGAAATTCACTACGTCCATGCCTAGAATTTTAGTGAAGATACTGGTTAATTCTGGATATCAAGTAGTGAACAAGGGGAACGATTGGTCCGGTGTTTGGAATTTATCTAGTAAAGATATGTCTAGGTATCGACGTATGAAGAGCTTTCAAAAAGTGAATATATCCTCGGTGTCTAATACAGACAATCAAACAGACCCTTATTAAATACAATTTACGTTTGAAAATCAGATAAACAATTTGCCGGGATCGCAGAACATCGGGAACAAAGATTTACTGTGGATGCACTTGAACGAAATGAATCGGAAATTCGGTCCGAAGGAATACAGCTTCATGCCTAAGACGTACGTTCTACCGAGGGAGATGCAAAAGTTTGAGGGCATGTGGAATAGACACGGTGTGGGCACCACGTGGATAATCAAACCTACGTCCTCGGGTCGCGGTCAGGGTATCAAGGTTGTTAATCAATGGTGGGAGATTCCGAAATGGCACGCTGTGATCATACAGCGATACATTACCAAGCCGAAACTCATTAACGGGTTGAAATTCGACCTGCGAATTTACGTTCTCCTAACAAGCATCAATCCCATGAGGATTTATATCTACAAGGAGGGTTTGGTTCGATTCGCGTCCGTCAGGTAACTCAATAAAAATGTTCAACATATTCTATCTAAATCTTCTAACATTTCATAGAATATGTTAATTAGTCCAACTGCAGATATAAATTTCAAGTATGTCCTAATCAGATCAAATATTCAATGAATTTCAATACAAAAATCGAAAAGATTCTTCCATTATACTGTATCAAAATTGTTCATGAATCATTACATGACTGTTGAAATAAAATTTCTCACATGAATTATACGATTTAACGATCCTAAAACAGTACACCACTAAACACGTGTTAAGGTACGTCCGCGGGGCGAACCTGAGCGACAAGTACATGCACCTGACGAACAGCAGCGTGAACAAGCAGAACCCGGCTTACGTAATGGGCGACGGGGTGAATTCGTTCAAGGGACACAAGTGGTCGTTCGCGAGTCTGTGGTCGTACCTGAAGCAGGAGGACGTGAACGTGATCGACCTATGGTCGCAGATCAAGGACATCGTGGTGAAGACGCTGGTCGCGGCCGAGTCCAGCCTGAACGCGACCATTTCGGAGAATCTGGTGTCGAGTTACACCTGTTACGAATTATACGGGTTCGACGTGCTGCTCGACGAGAATCTCAGGCCGTGGCTGCTCGAAGTCAACATTCTACCGTCTCTTCAGACCGACTCGCCGCTCGACACGGCGATCAAGGTTCAGTATTTTAATCCATTTGCATTACACGAGTGTACATCGTATAATAATGCAATGACTGACGTGATAATTGATATAACGATTGATATAATAATTGCTACAACGTTTCATTAGACAAAACGTTATATCGAACATTGTATTAATTTTGATTGTGACGTTTATTGTCGGCGGCGTACGATGCAAATTAATTTGGAATTCCTACGCGATGATGCACGAGAGCCGTATGGATAAATAATTTACATGAATACTATGAGTCACTGCGGTTTCCTTGTAGGGTCCCCTGGTCAGAAACGTTTTAAACATGGTCGGGTATCAGATACCGAAGAACGAGCAGATTTCGAGCAACGGCGTGCTGAACAAAAAGTACGACTCGATCGCGCATAATTACAGGCTGTACAGCACGGCGTTGACTCTCAGCGAAAAGATGAAACAGAACGAAATAAACGCGATGCAGACCCGCGACGAGTACCTGAATCGAATCCTCGAGAATCTGACGAGGGACGACCTGAGACAGCTCATCCGGTACGAGGACGAGCTCAGCCAGGCTGAAAACTTCGAGAAGCTGTTCCCGACCAAAGATTCCCATTCGTATTTCAAATTCTTCGAGATGGAGAGATACTACGATCGGCTGCTCGACGCCTGGGAGCATCGCTTCTCCGATAACAGAACCCTGGGAATCCGTAAGCTGCAGCAATACTGCGATACCATGCAACATTTGGATCTGGCCAATGACTGAACGCAGATTTCCTATCTGCCCGACTCTTTTCTCGTTGTAAATAGTCGATGCAAGTTTAATACCAACTTTGACTGGAATTTTTTTGGATAATGTAATGCGAAACGAGTCTTTTTTTAGAAACAGTGATAAGAAGAGAATTTAGGTAGCGAAACTTTTTTCGTAATTAATCTGTGTTTGCGTTCCTACTTGTTGTTTACCGCGTAATTCTGCCTTACAGGTAGATAGTGCGGCACCGTTTTTTTCAACGAGTAATTAAGATAGTAACTGCGGCTACGCGAACGTACAGCGATGTAAACTGTTTTGTCTTGCGCGACATCGGAAGTCAATGGAATTCGAGCAATCCGAGCGAAGCCGTACGCCTGTTAATCCACCTTAGTTGCGCAACAACCATAACCGCAATGTACCATAAATCGTCTTAACTGCATATATCGCTCGCGTTGACGTCATTCACCGTTTACTATGTACTTCCTCTGAATAAAAGTATTCATCTTTCTACGACAGTCCTATTTTATTTAATCACCCATAAATTTTTATCGGCTGGCCACATTGAAAATAAAGATCTAAAGTACTAGAGTTTAGAAAACTATTTTTCACAAAGAGGTCCTTTTACGTTTGTTCGTTTTCTATGTTCGTATAAACGATTTCCTGACGATCGTAAATCGTGAATTTCTTAAGGGTTGCCTTTTTCCCGACGCGTATTGGCACTCAAGTGGTTCCAGAAACTGAACTACAATGCCAGAACGACACGAATGCATTCCCTTGTTACGAGATAAGAAAAATTTGTAAAATGACTCGTCATGAAAATAAACGGGGCAAGTTAAACTTAAACGAACCACGAGAATTTAATCAGTTCGACAATATTCTAATCTAACAGAATTTGATAAGAATTCAACATTGATTGTGATAATCACAAAAATTTCGAAGCCAACATTTTGCATCTAGTAGATTTATACGAGTTCATTGGATTCGATACGTTAGCAATAATTTGGATCGGTCACGGCTTGTCGTCACCTCGTTCCGAATGTGACGTAAGAAGCAAGTGAAAGCCGCCTCCTCCTCGGGTCCGTGAATCACTTCCTGAAAATTCTGTCGACTCGGCTTCCACCGGTTTTCAGTTCATTCAGATGAATCTCTCGATTCGTCGCATGCAACCTACTTTCCTGACCGCAACTGGCGACGATTGAACGGTTTGACGCGTCTGTTTTATCTATACTCGTACACGCGCATGTGTTCGAGGAGCTTATCAAAGCCAGTACACTTTTTCGCTGAACCAGACATCGGAAAATTTTACGAGCTTTTCTTATCTCATCTTTAAATAATTAACAGACTGTAGATTTATGAGAAATCTAATGGTATAAAAAGTGTATTAACAGCAAATATGTTAGTTCTTTATAAATAAAAAGAATTTCTTCCTAAATATCATTTTTTTAAATTGATCCCGTAAAATTCCAGGAATTATTGTGTACAATTCTGCTGTCACGTACACTCCACGAGTCCTGACGAGTGAACGCTGATCGTTATCATATCGGAAACGAGAAAAGTTCACCGGAAAGACGCTTTTAGGATTAACAGATACCTGTATTTCGCTCTACAAGCGTGAGCAGAGGAAAGGATCTTCCTAAGAGCAGCTGTGAAACTCTAGAGAACACGGCTTTATTGATCCGGCTGCAAATAACCTGGCCACTAAGCTTTTTGAAACTTTTACTTACAGTCCCTATTGCCCTGAGGAATTTCGGTAGATTCTACTAATCCTACACACCCTTCTTATCGCGTTCGCGACAAATAACGCAGGTAGAAACTCTTGAATTGCTACTAGAAATAGCAGAAGAACGTACTCATCGAATGAAAAGCAAAAGCAGTAAACAGTACCAGCTCCTTATACATATAATGAGAAATATATACGTAATGCAATCTCCTATCTCGCTTATCCGTCTATATTATATCATTATATTTTAATCCAATGATGAGGCTGCGAATATTTATGCATTTATGGGAATTTTAAATAATTTAAAAAAATATAAAGTATCCAAAGTAAACTAGAATTTTTTATAATTAGAGAAGAAAATAATTAAAATTGCTTATATGCATTTCGTTCCCTTAATTCATAAAAATATGTATTTGCATAAACATGCAGAGTCTAGAATGGCTTTGTAAATTAAGAGCTAATCTTCATTTAAAAAATTATAATATCAGTTTGTATTCTAGATGCCCTATCGCCTTGAATTACTTTTCTAGAGAGACACGCGTGTTCTCGGTCGAATGCGATAAAATACTGGACTGTTTACCCGGTTTACCGTGGCTGCGTATAGTGACTGTCGCATGTCGCATTATTAGCGAGCGTACGGCTGCGTGACTCTGGCAATCAGAGCAGAATGAGATCTAAAATTCGCAATCTCGCCAATGAATCCACTTAATTGCGACACTGTAATCGCTAGCCTCTCCCTATCCTGTTCTGTCATATTACTTTCTGAAATCTTCATTGTCTTGTAAATCAAAGCTAGTAGGCGAAGTATTTGAAGAAAGCGAAATAAGAAATGGGCGACCTGATTCATGTACATATCACTTATCTCTACTAAATAGATTGCGGATTTTTAGAAAACTCGAATGTACAGAAGATATATGGAAGTTATATGTCTCACCGTAAGCTATCAAACATATACATTGATAGTGCAAGATATTTCACTTAGAACTCCACAGGCTTATTTTATCATTACTTCTAACAGTATATTTTTAGTTGAATGCACTTATTATGTGCGGTTAATCCATTCACTTTTACGATTGAAATGTACACGGTCGGAGCCGTGTCTATGAAAATGGGTCAGCTGAATAGGCATGCCGGAAGTTACGTTCAGAGACAGAAACAACAGACATTTCTGCCACTGTGGAGACCGATACCCGACGCCGGTGTTCTTTGTCTTCGGCCGACGTTGACTCATACCTGCTCGCAATGAAAACGACGTGCGTTGCACGGTCACGGGAATCGGTCTACGGATGATAATCGATGGCAAGGATGAAATCGAACGCGGCTAAATAGAATCGATCCATCTGGCCAAGATAAATGGCTGATCGGCCAAGATAAATAGCGATCGGGATCTAATTCGAGCGTTGCCACTTTCACCCACCCGTTCATTCAACAAATTCATCCACGGGACAATGAATCAAATCACGTAACGGCGAAATTAGTAATTACCAAACGATCGGGACTACTTATAGAAGAGTGAACCAGATTTCATTTTTTAAATTCACATCACAATTGCTTTATATTGCATACGCTATGAGTCACTGATTCCTTGCTACTCAGAATTAGTGTTCGAATACCTTGGTATTCGCGGAAGCACGACGCACCGGATATCTGTAAACTTTTACTTTGCGTAACTTCGCCGAGGAAGTTTCTCAAACACTGGAATCCTTCACTTGAACCGAAAAATTTCTCGATAATTCTAACGACTCTCTCCGGCGAAATAAATAGTTCCACTTCCTATAAAACGAGCAAAATGAAAGATATAACCGAAGCGCCGGCAAGTAGCAATCCGACCTGTGATAAAGCAAGGACAAAGAGACTACGATAACAGATAAGGCAAAAGTAGTTTTCTATTTCCTGCTTCTGACTTAATAAACGGGAACTGCGGTTAGTATCGAAACCACCTGTAAGCCGGTGATGATCGACGGGTTCTTACGTTAAATAGGATGGCCAGAGCCAATTCGAGCGCTACTTTCTCCGTCTCAGTAGACACGGGGGCCTTCGTTTCGTCGGTCGATCCTCGAGGTTGAAAGTGAATTTTCGCGTTCCTCGAGCGACGGTGTCAATGGCCTTTTAACCGGTGCTCGCGTGTCGATCGAGCTGAACCCGGGGATCGCGATGGCCACCGGTGGTCACTGTAAATGCACGAGTTCAGAACCGCACGACATTTTATAACGGAGCTGTAATTGCTCGAAGGAGATTTCGAATACATTAACGTTAAAAAATTCGTTCAAAAAATTATAGAGAGAAGAGAGAAAATTCAAGGATACTTCGAGGACTCTCGATCGGCTAATTAAGGACCAATACAATTTATAATATTGCAATCATATTTCTTGTCTTATCTCCGATTATTTTCAAACAAACTTCAATCAAAAGAAACGATATATAAAATCTAAAATTATTACACCCAAACGTGTTTGATTTATATAATAAATGACACAATCTCTAGCCGACGAAACTACCAGTGGGCCACTCGAAGCAGAGGAGCTAATAGAAGTTGTTTTTTTTTTTATTAGTAGTTAATCCGTGTTTGATTGCAGTTTTGATTAATCTTCGCGTGTGATTAATCACACTCACGGTGGTTATGGGTTAACACAACGGTATTTCAAGCCGCGAACGACTAGACAGATTAGAGCAAAATTTATAGGTAATAGCAAGCAATTTTATCACCGGCGAACCGTTTTCTGTTTCGAAAGATTTTTCCGATCTGACGGTTACATAAGACTGACCACTGAAATCAGACGCGCTATCGTGAACGACGACAATTTAATTGCAGCATTCGTTTGACTACGACCGGTAAATCTCCCGACGATAAGAAGACCATAGAAACCGCATTACATCAACGACGCGGTTTAACGAGACAAACGGGAAAGAATTATTCCTTCCGTTTGGAACGGGGGCTGCAAATTATCCGACAATTAGATCGTAAATCCCGGGAAACGCGGCCAGAGGCGCGAGACCAACAGAATACTCCCGTTTATGCTCCATTAGCATTTCATTAGGATTAGGCAAACGACGTGAATTTCTTATTTCAAATAACATTTATCGGTACGCAATCCTCAGAATAGTTGAAAAATAATCGCTAGACTGGATTTGTAAAAAAAACTAAAGCAACGCACGTACAAAATGCTTGAATGATGAAAGAGATTTCTATCTGAAATCCATTTTTCAACTAATTACCATAAAATCCCAGGAAACGCGAGTAAAGGCGCGAGATCAACGTAAAACTCCTTTTTATGCTCCATTAGTATTTAATTAGGATTAGGCAAACGACGTGAAAGCTCACTAATTCCAAGTAACAATTACTCACGGAATAACTGAAAAATGACCACTGGATTGTATGTGTAAAAAAACTCATGTAATGCATACGCCAAATGGTTAAATATCTATCTCCATCTAAAACGCATTTTTCAGCTAACTACCATAAACGTCTTATTGCACAAAAATGCGATCTAATTATCATTCCGAGGTAAACGTTCCATATGGTATAACAGAGATTAAAAATGAAATTGGTTACGCACGTGTGTATAGGTATATGTATATGTTTCTACTTACGCGGCTTCCGATCGCGATCGATTCATTACGGGCGTAATCGGTTGTATATAGATATTCAAATGGGGACAAAGTGCACTTTGTGCGCGAGCGGTAGAAAGTGCCGCCATCGATCACGTTGCGCACTTTCTTTCTTACGACGATTACGTGTAGAAGTCGGTGGAGTTCAAGGAACGCCACCGTGCATACGCCAGCCAGGACTCCTTCACTTTTCTTTCCGCGTGTACGCACGTGCAAATGCGCATGCATATCAATTACTACATTAAACATTCTATCAGTAAAATAAATGTTGTACCAATTAGTAAACGAATCACTAATATCAATCATTATATGAAAGATTGTATCAATTATAGCATGAACCATTAGATGAAACATCGTGTCAGACCTCGTATTAGGTATAAAAATTATTACATGGAACGTCATACTAATTTTTATTAAAATATACGACAGCGATATAATATAACCGGCGGTGTATGATGCAACGTGCAACTGACTATTAAACTGAGATTGTTTCTTTTCGAGGACCGGTGGAAAGTCGCCGGGTTGTGTTTCAGAAGTTATGAACTTCGTTAAGCGCAATGTTGTAAATGCATACTCGAAGCAGAGTCCAAACATTCATTAATCCTATCGGAAATAATTAACCGAGCGGGCTGTAATGAACGTTACCGATGTAACGAAACCGAGTGTGTAAGTACCAGCACGCGAGAGGAGAATGACGTGCAACGTTTCTATAGACCGCTTAAATACCGAAGGTAACGCCTCTTATTCCTGTATAGAATGTATGGCAGCTTGTAGCTGGTGCACGGTTTACGTGTTGCTACATTAATCCTTCGAACCCTGCGAGTTTCGTTTTCTACCACGGAATCCGTATTGTATCGCAGACAGACGTACAGATTCGAATATATCGGCGAGGATGCATTCGAAACAATTAGGACCCCAATATGATAATTGAATCCGCAATCACTGCACCTTTCACGTAAACATAGTCTATAGAAACAATATCTGGTCTTTCGTATAGAATTCTCAACGGGATGAGTGAAAAATTCGTCAAAATAGTCCGCAGCCATAGTAGTCGATTTTGTGGTAAATCGTTCGACTCCGTGCTAATCGGAGCGTGCAACTTGTAAACCGAATGCGTACAAAAGGTCGAGTACGAATTCGTAACCAGGCTACGAAATATGTGTAATAAGATTGAACGTGCAGAGAATATAAAGAATGCACGTGATAATATCATTTACGTATGAAGGTGTATGGAATACCAGAGTGGTACGCAAATATCGTATGAAATGCAATTTACTCACGGTGAGGTGTGTCTTGTCGGGGGCGATCGCGGTGATCTCGACTGGCCTGGGTTCAGGTGAATTCGCCTTGCTGAGGATGGCAGCTGGCATCTTCGCGACCAGAGACAACCTCCTGGTAAGCCGTCTCCCCAATTCTGCGCGTCGTCGCACCCTGACACGGGGACCGGTGCCTTTGTAACCTCCGAATTCCATCGTTGAAAAACGCCTTCCTTATCCTTTTACGCTCATGGCGGCGAATCTTGATGTCACGTGGCCGCACAGATTACGTAAACATAACGCGATGGTCCATGGGCGATCTACCGAAACGCGAACGAGCGTAAACAACGCGAGAATGCGAACGAGCGTAAACGAGAGGACGCGGCGAGTGTCACGGCTCGTCCACTCAACATCGACAAGCACATCCTTCACGCGTCATTGCCACTTCCGATATCCCGTTTGTTACCGAAAATTCATTGCACTCTCCGCGGCCATATCGATGTTCCTGTCAAGTCAAAGGTCACTCTAATATGCACCTTACTTTGACGACTTCTCCGTAGGAACTGGAACAGTCTATCGATGCGATGTTCGATCGGAGTCAAAGATATCTCGCACGTAGTTTAACAACGGTAGAAACTGGGCCGAGTTTTTCGGACGCGTCTCGGGGGTAGGATACTGGTTTTCGAACAACGATCACACTATAAACCTCATATACTGTAAACACTTGCTGGATGCTGGAGCGTCGCACACACGCGTTACTACGGACAGAGGCATCCCCCTCTGGCTAACAGGCATATGCGTGCATCCTAGTCTCGTGAGCACCGTTCCGTGCGACGAAAGGAGAGGAGAGACTTGCACCGGTAGTAGAGACTCGATGGTATTCGAAAAGCGAGGCACGGGGTGCGTGAAAGAGACCAGCCGGTTCTTGCTGGCGCTCGGTCTGCCTGGCGCGCTTCGACTGAAATTGAATCGCAGCAACCTCCTACCACGCGGCAGCGGCCCGTCACGCAGCCGGCCTTCCTAACCGTCGCGCTGCGCCTCCTCGTCGCTCTCGCGCCTCGTCTTCGTCGCTAGCAAACGGATCCGCGTAAACAAAACACATTTCGAAACCAGATCGGACGCGAGCTACCAGCAAACTAAACGGACACTGATGTAACCGATGCGCCCGATCAGTCTGATCAATCATCGTCGAAACTTCACGGTGCTTCCATCGACCAATTAGAGATCTCGGTTTAATGGCGCTCCTTTTCATTTTTCAAATGCATTATTCTCGTACGTATAAGAATCTTCTCCGTCATTATATTTATTATGATTGTCCCGTTCCATTACGTAGGATTATTAAAATGCTGAGAATAATTTCTTTTTAATGACCATCCACGATGCATACGGCATAGTTTTACATATCTTAATTAGCTTGCTATAAGCATGTAGATAAGAAATTTTCGAAAGGGAGATGGTACGTAATGATTGATCATAAAACGATAGAGTCAATTGGAAAAGTTTTAAGGAATGTAATCTGCTTTTCCTTAACGATTTTTAACTTGTTCTTTAGTCTTCTCACAAAGAATAATGACGTTTTCGAAAGCGGAGATTAATTGTAGAACAGCTGATTTTATATGATCGATTGTACACCAATCGGTTACGAAACTTGTTCGCCTTTAGTATTTACGTAGCGTATCGATCAATCCGTGCAAGAACAAGTCGACGATGATTTATAGAAATCAGCGTAGATTCAACAGTTTAGTTTTCTGTTGCACGGAAGTCATTGTAAAGTAGATGCTACTGGATTGAATATATGAGAAACCAAAGAAAAGCAATTCGTCACAATTGGTACGATTGGTGCGTGTTTACGCTTGCTGCGATCACACGACGAGAAGTCGCCACTTCTGTTGTGCGTATTCGCTAAATAAATTTCATGGCCTATAAATAACGAAAGCCAATTAGAAAGTTCATTTCTGGCCATAACGTGCCAAGTATTTTAATACCTTACGCAATGGGCTTATCTATGATTCACTTGCTCGCTCCGCTCAATTTTTAGGCTTCCTTGCAATCACAAGAGTAAACAATATGTTTATCCTTGCTGGTGCAACTCCAAATTCAAGATCTGAGATCAACACACTAGAACAAAAATAAATGCGCTTTTTAAATACATTGATTCCTCTAAGGAATGCAATTATTTTTGGATCAAGGGAAACTAGCTAAATAGGAGTGAAGTGAAAAACTCTCGCACGTAACTTCATCTCGGTGAAAATTTCTTGGCTATCACGAGTAATACGGGACGAAGAATGAAATCCAACGTGGCACTACAAGGCAGGCTCGCCAAGCAGAATGAGATTAGTCGGCAAAAACTGGCACAGGAAATCGTGAAACTCGATAAGGTGGAAAAGTCGAATCTGAGGATGTTAGAGACCGCGAGGCACCGATTCCGATCGCGTCACAAGAACCTCGAAGCTCGGCGACCCTCGTTCGGATCAAACGTAAGACTTCCTAAGCCGGAGACTGCGTATGAATAAGATCTCGTCAAGGACGCACACGTTTTCCCTTTCGTTTGCAACCGATGCTTGAACCCATTTGCATCGTTACAATTTTTCTGCTCTCGCTATCACCAAACTAGATCTGATTGAACTCGTATCATAAACATTCCATGAATCATTATATGAAATAATGTGTCAGTTGCCATATCAAGTATTATAGGAAATGTAATATCGATTGGTATATGAATTATTATATGAAACATTGCAACGATCATGAATGGATATGCAAATCGGTTTAGGTGGTGCAAACGTGACAGTGTACAATGGGCTGATCTTCTGATTTAATTGCGGACACAGTAATTGACGCGCAGGCAATTAACGTACGCATGTACGAAACCCATAATCCCGGGTTCTGCTACCACTGCACCGGCGCCATAAAAGAAACTGGCCAGTCGATCGAGCAGGAGCAAGTGCAGAAGGACTCCTACGACTTCGTCCGCTCGATAGTGTTCACGAAAGACGAAGTAGATCCGGACAAACTCCTTTGCCTTCACCTGTTAACGGCGCATAGTACAAGATGGAACGGCAACGAGGATTCCAGACCTATCACGCCTTTATTACAAAAAGGTAATATTTTCCATAAACGAAATAGAAAAGTCGATTAACGATTGTGATATATTTGAAGCTAAGAACAAACACTTCTCTGGCACATGGAACAACCTTATACCGTGTTACGTAGTAGATACTCAAGTAATCTCGTCCGACACGAAATTGCACGAAGACCCGAGAAACAAAATCTTGGAGGACCAAGCGATTCGCGAGTTCGAAGAGAAGTACAGGCAGTACATGGAGAAAGACGCCGACTACGAGAAAGCAATGTCATCGAACGCGAAGCAGACGAGAGTAATGTTGCACGGTTTCGAGAAGATGCCCTCGATTTCGCCTCACGTCTATTCCCTCCTCGGCGCTTCGCACGAGCTGCGAATCAAGCAGGCGCTCGCGGAAGGCATAGCCAAAAGAAAATACGGTCATTACAATACGGAAACGAACGGAATGGACGAGAACAGCTTATCCTTTCATCTCGACGACGACGACGACGTCGTGAGCAGGGCGACGACCAACGTGTCTACTAAAAATTGGGTCACGAGATCGATGCGTAGCCCGTCGAGGAGGTCTACTATAGGATCTTGGTATAAACCCGATCACGGAATCACCATGCTGAAATCGAAACGAAAGAAAAACTACGAACCTGTACCGAAAGATCTTATTACTATAAAATCCAGTTTTCGAGCTATGAAGGAGGCGCCATCGAAAACTTCCAGCACCAAATCTCCTTTCTACAGCATTTTCGGAAGTCGACAATCGACCAATTCTCTTTTCTCAATTACAATGAGTCCGGAAATTCAGATGAAAAAATGTAGAAAATGTATTTATTTAAATGCTCCTATGAGATGCGTGGATATTCGTGGCAAGGATTACAAAGTCGTACCGATTCTGGTTAATTATCAGCTCCAAGCATTGGTACAAACCGTGTTCGATGTTCTCCAACGCGTGAACCCGGAGAAATCGAAGAAGATAATCGACACTGCCAGAAGTACGAAAGAGATAAATAAGATGCTGATGCGAACGGAAATTCAGACCTTCGTGCAATCTCTTTTGGGACAGTCGTTGGTATCGTCTCCGGAAAGCTTCGTACTTTCGATAGCAACGATGGCAGATGAGATGGATCTACGTTTCGAAGAAGTTTTAGAGAAGGAGATAATAGCGTTAACTTTGGAAATGCCGTCGCTCCCGTGTTTAGATACTCTGGTCAACGAGATACGAAATAATATATTTGAAAATACGAAGGAGAAGACTGAAGAAAACGAAGATGAGACTGTTCTTAACAGAAAAGAAGGAAAAAATCGGTCCAACGTAGGGAAAAAGTAAAAATCGCTTATGTTCTTTGTAACAAATATATTAACATGGCGTTAAATTGAATCAGGTCGAAGTTAAAGTTTACTAAAAATGCTCGTCGTTGGAATAAGAGTAACAGCTTGCGAGGTGACAAGCCAGAGGAAGATAATGTTGTGGAACTGTCGCTGTCAGTAACAAAACGTGGGCCGAGGAAGAACTCAAAGATAAAAGCAGACGAACAGATGAGAGTTTCAGGAAGTAGCGTTCTCTCTAAACGCAGTTCGAATTCCAAAGTAAGATACACGGAAAAAAATGAGGAACGGGAGGGATGGATTATTGCGACGGCATTCGAAAGCCTGAGGTATTCAAAGGGGAAAGATCTGATAACGAATATTTTTCCTATTCCGCGTGTTTACAGTCTTGGAAAAGTGCCCAGGATCTCGGACATTTAGACGCGAATCATGTAATATTGCAAAGAATGACGAACACTCAGAGAATTTTAGTAGGACAAATGTGCGCTTCCCTAAAGAAAAAGAGAATTAATAATCAAGGTATTATAATTAATATTCCATGATCCTCGTGACGTTCGTGAACTTTCATTTTTTCCTCGACCTCTGCGCAGGTTTAATTAACGAAAGCGTACCGCTCGCTGCATTAATTGCGCCGGCACTCTCACGTGATAGCATTAAATTCTTAACGCGGGGCACTGTATATTCAAACAGGAATGCGATGAGCGAACAAGAAGAAACGGAGGATACTGTTACAGTTCCGGATAAATTAACTGGCCCTCTACTCGCGAAGGCAAATTCTTTTCTAATTAACGACTGATATGAAACTATAATATATGGACAATTTATACGTACTTCATTTAGATCCGACAAGACGTGGCAGAAAGCGAAACGAAGAAGCGTTTGAACTCTTTCTTGAAAAATGATGTAAAATAAAGAATGATTGCAATTCAAATTTACTTACCGCATCATAAGTCACCACTCATTCCTTATTATACTTTCACAGAAACTTCGTCATGCATAAATTATAATAAACACTTTGCTTACAAAAAAGTAGATACATATTTATACCAACGACTAATAATTGGGATTAACATCCATACTTCGTACTACGAATATTATGAGTAGGTGGCGTACAAGTACGCAGCGTACGCAATTTGGTTAGAACGGATAATATTAAAATAATCAGTAATCAAAAGCAAACCTTTCTCCATTAATTGCAACATAAAAATCATAACAAATCTATCATCTACCCCTCAGAATGCAATGAATAAACTCTAGAACAAATATTATACGCACTACTTACAGTCCCATATAAGACAAGAGAATTTAAACTTGAATTAAAGCGTGATTGAATCATTTTTTTACATGATAGAATTTGGAAAATATCTGAATAAAGTTTATATGAAATTATACCTTTGTTTACCCGAAATGAAAGTAATTTGTTCAGTAAGTAGTTAGTGAACACGATTGAATATCATCGGTCAGCTGATCAGTGTCGCGCAGCCGCTGGTGTATTCCTGCATGGGCGTAAACGAAGAAAGTTTGCCGTTTCAAACAAACGGCAAGAGTTTACGACTATACACGTAATAATCGAATAACCATTGCTCAGAACGATAGGACAGTGTCGGAGTGAAATGGAATAATTGGAGTTCATCGCGTGGAAAGACTGATCGCCGAGGAAACTGGCGAGGAATTTTTGTCGCGTTACGCCATGTTCGTCGATGCGAGGAAACTGCACCAGATGTATCGCTGAGTTCGCGCAAAATGTCTATGATGAAAATTTCTCGCAAGCATCGAAACAATGCTCATGTGTTCATCCGAAGTAGCGCGACGTTTACTTTAACGTATAAACCGCAACGCGACAAGTAAACCTTACGTGAAGTTATTTAGTGCGTTATGTACGAGTACTCTGCATGGTCTTTCTGCAGCAACCTTTTTAGAATTTCATAGTGGACTTTTGAGAAACGTTCGTATCTTAGACTACCTCTCTAGAAAGTGTCAGTTCGACTAGGCAGGCAAACATGTACACGTTCAAACCGTTTGTGTTCATGAAACATGAAGTCCAAAGCATGGAACGGCCCAGGGGTAGAAGTGGCCACAGGATAGTCTGTGACCACAAAAACTTGTATTCTTATGGTGGTTTCAATCCGTGCATCGCTGACTCTGATCCTGAAATGCAGCATGATCCTACATGGATGTCTACCAAACCTCTGTTTAAAGAAGTTTGGAAGTTCAATCTTGTTACACAACAGTGGAAATTATTGCCAGGGAGAGATAAGATGCCCAATGAATTAGCATCTAATGCAGTGATTTTAAGGAACAATATCCTGATAGTTTATGGTGGAACTGCTGTACCATTTGGACATAGCTGCAGCAATCGCCTCTATGTTTGCAATGTAGATAATGGGAAAATGCATATGGTTCCAGCACAGGGAGATCTGCCTGAACCACAATATGGGCAAGCTTTAATTTGCCATGGTCCATATTTGTATACTGTTGGTGGTACCACAGGATTCGAATATACATGCGACATTCACAGATTTGACCTTAGGAATGGTATTTGGGAAACCGTTTATATATGCTCTGGCAGAGATCAGAATGAACCCTCGGGAAGATACAGACACGAGTTAGCATTTGATGGAAAGCTTATATACGTTTTGGGTGGAGGGACAGCCAGTGAAGCTTTTGGTTTTGCTGTACGTAAATCTCGATATAATTTCGTTATTTAAAATACATTCGACTTATTTCTCATTATTCATTTCATACTCAGGAAATTCCAGCGTTTGATTTAGGAACAAACAGATGGTTGACGCTAAACACTTATAACGATAATAATATTTACGCGGTACCAGAACCTAGACGTTGCCATGGTTCTGTGCAGTATACAGATGGAAAAACAGGCGTAACGTTTGTTGTCATTTCTGGTGGATACAACGGGGATCACATATTCTCTGACGTTTGGAGATTAAATTTGAAACTCTTACAATGGACATGCTTACGAAAGTGTATATTGCCGTGTCCTGTATATTTCCACTCTGCTGCTCTTACTCCAGAAGGAAGAATGTATACATTTGGCGGCATTATTAAGGAGAATAACAGGGTCGGTCTTATTTTTATTCCGTAGGTTGACTCTGGCATGGTTCTCAAAATCGTTTTGGGAAATTGTTACAGATTGTAAGGACGGACGAGGTTCATTCTGTTTGGCTGACGATTCCGAAGTTATCGGAGATTTGCTGGGAAGCATTGATTCATTACTATCCGATGACTTTCAGACATAAATCGCAGGATGACTTGCTTCACATTGGTGTACCTCTGAAATTCGTGAGGAGACTCGAATGGTACGATGAATAATATATAAGAAATCGTCTTCAGTGTCTGCACATTCAACACGTTACCACTCCGAACATTGTTACCAATTATTTATTGCATGGATACTATGATTGTTGAACATTATTGCCATAATTTATTAACGATATCTTGATAAGAATGTATGTACATGCTACATTCGCCAATGAAGATGATAATGATTCTCAATGGATCACTTTCTTTAAATTCGTTTGCTTATATCATCCAAATACGCAACCGGTAGAGAAGAATTTGTAAAAACTTTTTGTTATGTAATTTATTTAGGCCCGTAATGGATGCGGAAGTCACAAGTGGAATTTCTTCTACGAGAAGTATTGCTGCTGAATGACACAGGTTTTCCATTATTACTCCACTTTTTACAGGGATTATTGTATCCTATGTTCTATACAAATTATTTCCTGAGTCGTGTTCTGAACTTACGTCTTTCTTTCTTTAAATTTCATTAATTAATCGATTCATAACTTATTTTATTTGAACTTTTAACAAAGACTTTTATAGTTAACGAAAGATGTACAATGTTACTGACAAAT